AGTGACAACATCCAGGCCTGTCTTCGACTTAAATCCATTGCAAAGTCTCCCTCCCTGGTGTTTTCTTGGGTATGTTCAACTAGTTTTGAAGGAAAAAAAAACTTAAAAATACTGTTTTGCGATCTTCTTTGCTTGTAATGTTATGAAAAAAAATAAGTAGATTAAATTGTAACCATACAGGGCATATATTTTCCCACAATACCACCGGTTTTCTTAACCCAACACCGCATGTGGCTGGAAAGCTCAGGTGTCTAGCCATGTGTTTCTGTGCCTCAGGACCTTCTGCAAGGACACCCCAAGCTGTTCTCAGAGTGACGTCCGGGGTGTGGGACTTGGGGAGAAATGGATGAGTGGGGACGGGAGGGTTTCTTTTTGTTTTTCTGCTGTGTTTGTTGGCTTTTGTTTGTTCTCAGTTGGGATCCCCACCTGTGGCCCAGGCTGGCTGCACACACAAGACCCTTCAGCCTCATCACCTGGGTGCTGACGTCACAGGCGTGGACCGCCACACCCGGCTGAGTCTTTGAGAATCAGATGTTCTGTGTGTAGGATGTGGCTCAGCTGGTAGAGTGGTTGCCGCCTGTGCCGGAAGTCCTGGCTTCCATCTCCAGCGCCGCATAAACTAGGGGTGGTAAGGCACCTCTGTAATCCTAGCCTGCAGGGGCTCAAAAGTCCAGGTTGTTCTTCGTTACATAGCAAGTTTGAGGCCAGCCTGGGCTACATGGGATTCTGTCTCAGAAAAAAAAAAGAAAGCAAGGAAAAAGAAAGAGAGTACTTGTGTCTTTTAAAAAGATTTTGTAGCTATCTCTTAAATAATAGACTAATAGGTTATAATAAATTTATTTCTAAATGGTAAGTTTATTAATTATAAATTATTGATAAATGCATGTATAATTAATAAACTAAACTAAAAGTGAACTCTGGCTACATTATCACCTGGCTTTCAGGGTGCCCCCTATTTGCAAACTGGGAACCAAGCATCTCCCAGTCGCCCTGCTGGATACTCCTATGGCAAATCTGATGCTTGGGTCTGTGCTTTCCAGGACTAGGGCCTACAGGTCCTGGGGTTGGGGCTGTGCGTTCCATTTGCTCTGCTGCCCTGAGCAGCATACAGAAGACTTCCCAGCCAGAATACCCTGCCATAACTAGTTCTTCCTCTCCCCTCCAGGACCAATTGTCCCTGTAAATACAGTTTTTTGGATAACAAGAAGCTGACACCCCGACGTGATGTCCCCACTTACCCCAAGGTGAGATGGGTTTCTGGCCCAGGGACAATTCTAGCTCAGTGTCTTTCAGACCCAGGACGCAGGAACCCATGACTGGCCCCTCGCTCTGCACAGTGACAACACCCCCCCCCATTCCTATCGTGGGCTGAGGAAGGGTGGGAGGTTGTCAGGCAGGATATTTTTCTCTTGGACATTTGTTTAGAGAAGCAATTCCAGAGCTCCATCCCTCCCCGGCCCTCAGCCGACAGTAAAAGACATCTGCATACAAACATTCCACCAAGGAACTTTAACAAGGTTCTTAAAAATCTGCATCACTGGCTCCCCTGTCCCTGAACAACACAGTTTTTATGGAAAGCTGTTCACAAAAGTTTCCTGAGTTTTAAAAGCAGCCAAGCCCAGAGTCAAGTAGCTTTGACCTGGAATTCAGCTGTTTTCAGTGCCTCCAAGGAACGCCACCCCCGTAGTGGCAGACTTGGTTAAACCCTGGCTCGCACTTTTACACTAAGGTTAGGCCGACCACCCACAGGTTCTCCTGGAAGCCCCCATAGGTCCCTGGAGCCCACTAGTCAGTGATTTGTTCCACATCTGTCCAAGCTGTGCACTGAGTATCATCCAGGAGACCAGCACCTTTCCGCATGGACAAACGTGGCCAGTATCTTTTGCAGTCCTGTCCGGGTTTGCCATCCTGTCCAGCCCTGGGACAAACTGAGCCAGCCTCCACACCAGTGAGAATGAAGAAGGCTAACCTGAATGGCAGCCCTCCTGCTGCCTCATGTCCAGACCATCATCCTTGATGCTGACAGTTCACCCTATACCTCAGTGCTCGGTGGACCCAACCTCAGCCTCAGGCCTTCATCAGCCAGGGTGTGGCTTAGCTCGAGGCTGATTCCGGGAGTGTTTTCCCCAAGACAAACCCAGCAGAGATGCTCGGCAGGGATGTGAACATGTGCCCAGTGGCTTATTGTCCCTTCACTTTACGTAGCTTTTACTGTTGAGATTTGATTGATAGTTGTGGAGCTCAATTTCTTAGACTCTGAGCACAGTGAGTTCTGACACACATAGTCGTGAAATTACCACCATGGTAAATACAGGGAACATTTCTATCGCTTAAACGTTCCTAGGAGCCCCTAATCATTCCTGGTCCTAGGAGCCCCTCGTAGCCCAGGCCGCTGTAGGTGGGAGTCCAGTGACATCTTCCAAGGAAGGACAGCCCCGAGTCCGTACACAGCATCTGTGAGGGGGCCTGGAGAAAAGAGAAAATGCTCACCCTGATGCCGCCGTGAGCACAGCTTTTGTCACTCACAGACAGACGCCCCACTGTCTGGCTAACATACCACTCCCGTCTTCCTAGTACCTGCTCACCCCAGAGACCATCGAAGCCCTCCGGAAGCCCACCTTTGATGTCTGGCTTTGGGAACCCAACGAGGTAGGTGAGGGACATCCAGGTTCTCCGGTCACTGGGGACAGCCGCTCAGGACGGCAGATCCTGAATGGGGACTGTGCCCAGGCTGTTCCTCCCATGTACTTTCTCTTGTCTTTTTTTTTTTTTTAAGTTAAACACTCCTGAATTAAAATTTCTAGATTTTAATTCAAAATGACACTCAGTAGGCTCAGAGGGATACAAAAGTCAGAGCCCAAGGCAAGGGGGCCATACCCAAGCTTTAAAAAAAAAAATACCAGCAACCCCTGACCTTCTGATGACACCAAGTGTCCCTGGGCAACCAGCTGAACCCAGGCCCAGACTGAGCACACTCTTATCTTCAGGATACGTGGGAAGATGTAGCCATGTGGAGGCAGAGCCGCTGCTTAGAACAGCTGTTTCCTGCAGAAAGGGGCCTCCAAAGGAGCATCCTACTGGAAAGTGTCGCCAGCAGAGGCCCCGGGCAGCTGGATACAAGATAGTGGCTAAGCTTTGCAGAGAGAAGAGTCGGTTTGACCGGAAGATATTTCTTCAAAGTTTCTCATTCGCTAAGAAATATCAACGCGGAGAAAGAACAAGTCCCTCCTCATGGGCAACTCACCAAAACCTAAGAGTTCTTCGCTTTTCCAAAGCACAGACTTGTGGAAATAGGCCAAACTGTTCCCTGTTACCTTTGGCAAGGTCAGTTGTAGCAAATGGGATTTTGTGCCTTTAGACAAGAGAGTCCCCCTATTTCCCAAATAAACCTCATCAGAAGGCCTTTGGCTGGGGAATTTTAACCAGAAAAGCAGAGACTAGGCTGGGAGATGCTCGATGGCTAAAGGAGCTTGCTGTCCACGGTGAGGACTGGGGTTTGAATCTGCAGCATCCCTGTAAATGTCTCATGGGTAGGGTAGCTGCCTGTGACCTCCGCACAAGGGAGGCAGAGATGCCCCAAGCAGGCTGGTTAGATAGACTGGGCTAATCAGTGAGCTCTATGTTCAAGTGATAGATCCTGCCTCAGGTGAAAAGGTGGATAGATACCAGGTGGTGGTGGCACGCACTTTAAATCCCAGCACTCTGGAGACAGAGGCAAGTGAATCTCTGAGTTTGTGGCCAGCCCAGTCTACAGAGCAAGTTCCAGGTCAGCCAGGACTACACAGAAAAACCCTGTATCAAAAAACAAAAAACAAAACAAAGCAAAAATACTCTATCAACCTCTGGCTTCCACACTCGTGTGTGTGCATGCACACACACACACCCTCACACTTGCCCACACACATACAACCTCCCTACACATCCACAAACAACAACAAAACAGAAAAGCAGGACCTAGCTCAGCTCACTGGAAGAGCACCCCATCAACAAAATGCCAGAGGTGCAGCTACCAAGGGTTCCACGCTCCAGCTCCGAGGTACGGAGCCGGCATGCAGAAATCAAGCATTCAGGCAGCGTCTTAGATGTGCAGCCCTCCCAGGTCAGTGCGGGGTCACAGTTCCCTGAGCACAGATGCCAGGAACAAAGATAGGGCTTTGAAGAGATGTGGCAGTGTGGTGCCTCCAGAGCCTGGGCAGAGCAAAACTATGACAAAGAAAGGTACAGCAGGTGGCTCAGAATGTGGCTCCTCCCACAAGTAGGTGGCCAGCCCTGCTTCTGCCTCACCCTCTAGGATGGTCCCAATACCCAGTTGTTGACTTTAGCCAGTCAATATCTCTAGTGAGAGTGGCTGCATAGAAATCAATACTTGAGGTTTTGTTTTGGTTTTCTGCTGCTGCTACCCCCTCCGTGGAGCCTCCGAGCACAGTGCTGCCCATGGTGGGAGTCAAGGCTGTCCCCAAGGCTGAAGAACTCACGCACCCATAATAGAAGCATCACTCTCCTGCCCTCACTTTGCAGACCATGGTCATAGCTGCTCTCTGGCTGGCGGGGGGGGGGCACGGTGACTCTTACAGCCGGACCCAGCCATGTGACATCTTTCACTGTCCATAGCTTCAGACAGACAGACTAGCAGGGTGCTTCTGGAGGTTTCTCACTGCCTTCCGGTGGTAAGCCAGAAAAACACCCCAAATCAAGAGCCTCGGTCTCAGGCAGATTCAACTGTGAACAGCAAATATGCATAACTGAGCATACACGGAGGACCTGGGCAACCACCTGAGCCTGAGAGGGCAAGGAGCATCAGGGCCCTGTGGCAGCACACCTCTCTCTTCCAGTGGGGGCAATGCCACATCTACCCACTGGTCCACCCAGCATCCTTCTCAGACCTAATTCAGGATGTGATCGTACGTTGTTCTGGTGCCTCGGGTCCTATGGGGGGCAGGGGTCGTCATCAGAGACTGCAGGCAGTGAGGTGGCTGCTCTGCCACACTGAAGGATCACCCGTTGTCGCCTTGGAAGTCGCCCCCTCTTGATCAGGGCTCATCGCCGTCTTCAGGAGCCACCGCTCACCCCCTTACTCAGCTGGGGTTGAGGACTGTCAAGGGAACAGACCATCACGCCTGCTCCGAAGCCACCATGTCCATCACAGAAGTGGTAGCAGATGGTGGCGTCTGGCAGTTCTCAGCATCTCTCAGCTGTGGTTCCACAGCAAATATTTCATCTTTCCAGGGCTGCTCAGAACACTGCCTGAGCCTCTGGGACAAACCCAATGGGACTGTAACCCGAGGGTCCTGAGGGCTGGCATTCTGTACGGTGGGAGCACCGGGAGCTCTGGACGGATAGCAGCTACCAGCCAGCATCTGGGGAGTCAGCTGTCCTCAAGCCAGGGCCAGACCCCTTGTTACTCTGCAGGAAGTGCTTTCTGGGCCAGCATCTTCAAAGCCATTGACTTCTCAAAGAAGATGTGTGTAGGGCCAGCGTGACCTGGGGATGCTCCGTGACAGCCTAAGTCCCCTGTGAGGTCCGAGTGAGAGATTGTTTTCCATTTCTCAAATGAACTTGTGATACCGTAGAATTCTCTGCTCCCAACAGAATTTAATTATCGTAGTCCCAGAACATCCCCTTAACTGCTGCATTCCCAGGGCCCATACATATTAATTAACAAAAAAAGGATAGAGCTTGGTGGCATACACACATTTCCTCTGACAGTCGGCCATGACAAACCACCACAGACTGGGTGGCATCAACAACAGCAGTGTGTTATTGTCCCATTGTCCTGGAGCCGGGAGGTCACAGTCTAGGTGTTTTGGGTTGGCCATTCCTGCACTGTCCCCTTAGCTCTCAGATGACATCTTCTCTCAGTTATCTCTATGTCTGTGTCCTGATCTGTCCCTACAGAGTCATGGTCAAATTGAATTGGGCCCCTCTTTGTGGCCACATATATCTTGGTTGCCTCTGTAAAAACCCTGTCCCCAATATGGTCACGTTGGTGGGGATGTCACAGTATGGTCTCTACATACTATTGATGGGACACAATTCAGTCCCTCACATAGATTTGCCACTTGGTGCCCAGATGCAAGGGAAACTGGCCAGGCTACAGCACTAACAATTGTTGCCCTGTGCAGGTACTAGGACGCTGGTACCAAGGACCAGGCTGGCACTGATGTGTGGCCTAGGGGACGTGCTCTCTGCTGGGGCCATGCCATGCCATGGCCACTGGGCTGTCTCACTCTGCTCTGTCTCCCCGAGACCTGCTTCTCCCAGAAGCAAAGCCACTCTATCTGGGCTTGGTTACATGTTCCTTTTCTATTTCTCGTTGGCTTAGTTAGTGTCAAAACTCTGGGAGATGTTTACAGAGATCTGAAAAAAAGACAGCAGAATTCAACACCATGTCTATCTCGCCCTACACCAAGTGTCCACAGATGACAGAATTTCCAGAAATCACGTTTGTCCGGACAAGAGATCTGCCCTCCAGATCAAGGCAGTAGAAAGAATCTCTAGTCCCAGCAAGAGGAGCGGACTCCAGCTTGTCAAAGCCCTTTCCACCTCTAGCCTTGAGCGAGGAAGGGGTGGCCCTCAGTGACACCCCTTCCCACATGTACGATTGCTGAGCTTCCTCGGAACCCTTAACCCTCCACTCGGGTTGTGATCATTTTGGCGTCACCGTTTGCAGCTGTGTCTCCCTACACAAGGCTGCTATGGTGACTGGAACACACCTTGTCACTTCACTCCCAGGAGGCCTGCAGGTTGTCACCACCCATCTGGGTGATCCTACAATTGGCCTGTCCCACCCTTCTCCATCATCCCCATGGTACTGTTCAGGACAGTGCATAGGAAGGAGGGTCAACTGGCCTGCCTGCTCCCCCTGACCTCTCACCCCTGATCCTGTTCCCACAGATGCTGAGCTGCTTAGAGCATATGTACCATGACCTTGGTCTGGTCAGGGACTTTAACATCAACCCCATCACACTCCGCAGATGGCTGGTAAGTGACGAACCCACACTCAGACCTGTTACTTCCCCTGCCACACCTGCGTGGTCTACTATGCTTTTCCTGGTGACAGTGGGCTTCTGCAGAGCGGGCATCTGGACCAAGGGAGCTCTGTCAGGTCGTTTGTCCATCTGTCCTCCCAGGCCCTCGGAGGAGTGAGGAAACAGTGTGACAACCAGGAAGAAACTCACAGGGCAGCCCACTAAAGCGGAGGCGTGTGGAATTGGGGATGTCATGTGTGTCTAGGGGTGTGTGGCTAAGGAGGTTATATGAGTAGTGTGTGGAGTTATGTCTATGAGGATATAAATGTGCGTGTGTGCGTGTGTGTCTCTGGGAGTGTGCATGTGAGAATGTGTGTGATTGGGAGTGTATGTCCCTGGCGGTGTGGATGTGTGTTTGTGAGAGTGTATGTATCTGTCTTGTTCATGGTGTAGGTGGCTGTATGTATATAGGGTAGGCATGGGTGCTTCGTAGCAGATCTTTCTCTAAGGGATGAAATGTTCTCATGAATCCAGAACTGAAAGTCTGCTAATTGTCCAGTAGGCCTGGGAACCTAGAGTCCCTCGTGGAATGCTCCCTGCCCCACTCCCAGCTTTCCATCCCAGTGTGGCTCAGCAGACCCGGGGAGGGGGATACTTTCATCCCTGCCCCCAGGTTGTAGCGTGGTGGGACATTGCAGGGCTCCTGGGCCGCATTGTCCTGTGATGGTGAGCCTGGGGACCCCTGATGCCTGGGAGCCTATGGGAGCAGGGGCGGTGAGCTGACCCTTCCCTCCCCACAGCTCTGTGTGCATGACAACTACAGGAACAACCCCTTCCACAACTTCCGGCACTGCTTCTGTGTGACGCAGATGATGTACAGCATGGTCTGGCTCTGTGGCCTCCAGGTGGGTCCTGCCAGCCCCCGCCCTCCATCCCTCACCCTGCTGAGTACCTGGGCCCTCCCTGCCCCCAGCCCAGTGGGTGTATGACCTCTGCAGGGACTGAGTCCTCCGCCCCTGTCACTGCAGCCCAGTCTGTCCCCACCCCCTCCTGCCCTCCCAGGAGGAGGACAGACGCCTGACTCTCTCCTAATCCAGGAGAAGTTTTCCCAGATGGACATCTTGGTCCTGATGACCGCAGCCATCTGCCATGATCTGGACCACCCAGGGTACAACAACACGTACGTTTGGGGTTTCTTTCTCGTTTCTGCTTTGGAAAGTGCCCCTTCTCTCAGGGGAAACTCAGCTTACCCAGCAGCTCTCAGACAGAGCTGCTAACCTAGGCCCCTAACCCTGTAGGATGCAGTTCCCAGCTTTGGACATTGTCCAGAGCCCTGGGTCTCCCCCAGGAGAGTATCTCCAAAGCTACCAACCCACACAGGTAGCCACAGTCCCTTTTTATCAGCCCCAGGCTCTGAAGGTGCATGGCAGCCTGCCCCCTCCACAAGGTGGGGGACAGTGGGACTTCACCCCATTGTCTTCCAGGATGCTTCCAAAGGCTCATGCAGTGGAGCAGGGCTAGAGTGAGTAAGGGCAGGGCTGGGGAACACAGATAATGGGACCAAGAGGATGGGCCCAGGCCTGGGACACTAAGCACCTCCTGTCTCCATTAGAGTAGAATGCTACCCCATGAAGCAACAGAGTCCTCCCTCATAGTGGGGGCCTGAATTCAGTGACACATAGGTTTTTCTCTGATGCACCTTCGTGGCTGCACGTGACATCAGATGTCCCTGGGGCCACGATGTGTCCCTGGGGATCCCAGGTCTAGCCATGTGTACTCCTCAGAGACAGAGTCGATGCCAGGCGTGGCCATGAGGACTCCTCAGAGGCGGTCCCAGCAAGTCCTCTGTTACCTTTCAGCACATTTATTGTTCACCACAGCTGCCAACATCAGGCTGGCAAGGAGTTTATTTTAGCATTAACCTCAAAATCCAAACCTTAGAATGGTACCGTGGGACTTTTCCTGTAACCCCAGCTCTTGGAGGCTGCGTGAGGCAAAAAGATTCCAGTTTCCAGGCCACCTGGGCTGCAGAATGAGATCTTGTTATATATGCATGTACATACATATGTACATACATACATACATAATTACATATGGGATAGGGTGAGAGAACAAACCTATTTCCTCTTTCCCGAAATCCTGTCTTTGCATATACTGAAAATCTGAGTTTTTGGAACCTTCATGTCTTCAAGGCATCACCCCAGGGAGAGAGCTGAGATCACGGGTTGGACTTCAAGGCACGGGATATCTAGTTACAGGAGAGCCAGGGGTTCCATGAAGCAAGTTTCTGGTGGGAGCAGATGGCATCTGGTCACTTGCCCTTAGGCACTTCCAGCTTCTGCAGGAACCATGCACACCCTGGCGTACAGATGCCAGCAGCAGGGTGCCTGAGCCTCCTGCTCTCTCCACACATCCTAGATACCAGATCAACGCCCGCACGGAGTTGGCTGTGCGTTACAACGACATCTCACCGCTGGAGAACCATCACTGCGCCATTGCCTTCCAGATCCTGGCGAGACCCGAATGCAACATCTTCTCCAGTGTACCAGCTGAGGGCTTCAGGCAGATCAGGCAGGTGTGTGGGGCCAGGGCTCTGTAGGGTCATAGCAGAGCCCTGCTCTTCAGAGGCTCTTGGTTACAGCAGTACCCCCAAAACCATTATTTCTTCGCCTGCTCTCCAAGAAGTTCAAAGCTAACTGGAGTGCTTGACAACAGTCAATACTGAATCACTGATTCATGGTGCAGCCCTCTCTTCTGTCTGTAGACTTCTACCCTTTCTTTCATGTTCGCAGCTCCACTCTCTAAGTGTGCGCCATAGACTGTTATGACAAACCATTTTCTACAGTGGGTAAAGGGCATGCTAGGAAGGGAGATGACCACACAGGCCAGGGCCACCTAGTGAGCCTGATGGAGCATCCCTTAGTGTGTGACTTTCTCCAGCAAGCGGTACCCCCGAAGAGAGAAAGAGTCGTGCTCGCTTCGGCAGCACATATACTAAAATTGGAACAAAAGAGTTATCTAACTGGATGAGCAGACAATAAATCCATGCAAACAGGATTTTCTTCCTGCTGGCCACCCTGGGGACAACAAGGGATTGTCCTATTCCAGAAGTTTATGAGTTCTAAAATAAGAGTTCTTCTGGAAACAAAAATCATTTATTCAAATTTTTGAAATATTTTATAAGTAATAAGGAGATGGCTCAGTAGGTAAAGCACTTGCCACATAAACCAGACAACCTGAGTTCAGATCCCCAGAACCTACATCAAAGCTAGACACAGTAGTGGCTATAATTGTAATACACCCTATGGGGAAAGGAGAGGTGGAGGCAGAATTACCTGATGCTCACAGGCCAGCTGCCCTGGTGTCCACTGCAGTGAACACCAGGGGACCCTGCCTCAAACAGGGCGGAAAGCAAGGACCAACAACCAAGGTTGTCCCCCTGCCTCCATGTGTACTAATTATGGCGTACGTGCACCCACACTCACACATACAAAACAGTTTTGTCACTGAAGATCTTGAGGGATAACTGAATGTTCTGTTAATTGCAGTCTTTACAGGAAAAAGGTTCGTAATTCAAAGTGCAAGATGATGTGTCCCCTCCCACACACACAAGAAATACACATTTGAGATTCTTCACGTTGACTGCTTGCTTCATATTGGCCGTTGAGGCTGGGGGTCTTATTTTCTTGGAAAGGTGACACTCTACACCCGGGGCAGAGATGTTATGTAAATGTTTTGTGGGATGGAGGGATAGGGGGGTGGATAATGGATGGCTGGGTAGGTGGGTGAATGGGTGGCAGATGGCTGGATAGATAGTGGATGGGTGGGTGAATGAAAAGATGGATGGATGGATGGATGGATGGATGGATGGATGGATGGATGGATGGACTGTGCAGATGGATGAGTGAGGGAGTGGGTGGCAGATGGTTGGATGAGGGATGGAAGGAAGGGTGGGTG